AAAAAAAAAAAAAAAAAAAAGAATACAAGATGTTGACTGGGGATAATGCCTGTGAAAGCTAAAAGGGCAGGGAGCAAGAAGACTGGGCAAGGAAAACCCTTAGACCATAATGCAGATCTGACACATGTGAAGGTGTTGGGGGAGGAAGGGGAATTGGGCAGAGATGACTTAGGCTGCAAGGCAGATGTGACAAAGTCTTGATCAACCCAGTGGAGAGTTCTGGAGGAAAGACGGCCTGTTAGAAGAGTCCAAAGTTGGACAGAAATGGCCAGGCCCTAATATTGCCACCATGCTCCGTCATTGGCTGTAATCTTCCAAGGGAAAGCATGGTCTTGTCAAGAATGCTGCAGCTGATCTTGGAAGGTGCTGCAGCTGGAGGCTGTCAGCTAACTTCACTCCTTACAGATATATGGCAGATTCTTTCTTGAAGAGTGATCCAAGCCATGCACCTCCACATGCCTGCCCAGTTTTCCCTTTGTGTTGCCTGGATTCTCTTCTCCAAAACTGCACGATTTTCCTGTGAGCCTCTCTTTCTATGGGGAACATAGTAGAGTAGGTTAATGGGAAGAATTACACCTTGCTGCAGTTGGTCTCAGGGCTTCCACTGGTTGTCATCTTCTCCGTTCTCCACCATCCACTCTATATTCATATTGATTTTCTGTCTGCTTGATCTATCAATTACTGACAAAAGGATGTTGAAGTCCCCAGTTCTGATAGTGGGTGTATCCATTTCTCCTTTCAGTTTTGTCAGTTTTTGCCTCACCTATTTTGATGCTCTGTTGTTAGGTGCATATACATTTAGGATTGTTATCTCTTCTTGAGAGTTGACCACTTTATCATTATGTAATGCTCCTCTTTATGCTTGATAGTATTCCTTGTTCTGAAAGCTACTTTGATAGAAATGTAGCAACTTCAGCTTTCTTTTGGCTAGTGTTTTCTTGATATGTTTGTGTCTATCCTTTTTATTTTTTAAATTTTTATTTTATTTTATTTGTTTATTATTTTTGGCTGCGTTGGGTCTTCGTTGCTGCACGCAGGCTTTCTCTAGTTGCGATGAGCGGGGGCTACTCTTCTTTGGGGTGCGTGGGCTTCTCATTGCGGTGTCTTCTCTTGTTGTGGAGCACGGGCTCTAGGCGCGCGGGCTTCAGTAGTTGTGGCTCACAGGCTCTAGAGTGCAGGCTCAGCAGTTATGGCACACGGGCTTAGTTGCTCCGTGGCATGTGGGTTCTTCCCGGACCAGGCTTGAACCTGTGTTCCCTGCATTGGCAGGCGGATTCTTAACCACTGCGCCACCAGGGAAGTTCCTATCCTTTTTATTTTTGACCTACCTGTCTTTATATTTAAAGTGGGTTCCTTATAGACAACATATAGTGGGTCTTGTTTTTTTACCCACTCCAACAATTTCTGTCTTTTAATTGGTGCCGTTAGACCATTCACATTTAAAGTGATTATTGATATAGTTAGATTAATATCTACCGTCTTTGTCAGTGTTTTCTATTTGTTGCATTTGTTCTCTGTTTCCTCACCACCCTCTTTTTCTGTCTTCTATGATTTTAATTGAGCTTTTTATATGATTCCATTTTATTTCCTCTCTTAGTATGCCAATTCTTTTCTTTTCTTTTTGTGTTTCTTTATCTATTTTTCCTGTTAGTGTACCAATTATAATTGTTGCCCTAGAGTTTATAATATACATTTTAAAAAACTTAACTCTTTTTTAAAAAAAATATTTATTTATTTATTTATTTGGCCGTGCTGGGTCTTAGTTGTGGCACGCGGGATCTTCGTTGCTGCATGTGGGATCTTTGCTGCGGCATGCGGGATCTTTAGTTGCAGCATGCAGGATCTTTAGTTGAGGCATGCGGGATCTAGTTCCCTGACCAGGAGTTGAACCTGGGCCCCCTGCGTTGGGAGTGCAGGGTCTTAACCTCTGGACCACCAGGGAATTCCCTATAATATACATTTTTAACTAATCTAAGTCCGCCTTCAAATAATACCATACTGCTTCATGTGTAGTACAAGTTCCTTATAACAGAGTGTCTTTGATTCCTACCTCCCATCCCTCTGGCCTCCAGAGTGCACTGCTGGCAGCTTATAGTTCAGTGGGACTCTTGCTGTGCCCCTGGTAAGAGTATGCCCTCTTTGAGGACAAGTACCTCTTACACTGCAGAGCTCAAAATTATGGGGGACTGAAAGTACAATGTCTCCCTACTAGTAAGTTATTGGGAATGACTGTGTATGTGGTGACTTCTGCTTCCACTCCTTGGTTCCTGCACCCATGCACTTCTCCTCTGGGGGAGATGGTGCCATATAGAGGTCTCTGATTTAGCATTTACTTTGTAACCTGGAGGATGGTACCACACCCTTGCAGAATATTGCTTCAGAGCCGGTGCTTCAGCTGCATCTTCAGCAGGCCATTCCATTGCTTTAGCAGGTCAGCTACTTCTGAATGGTGTGGAAGGTAACATGCCAGGGGGTCCTGTGGTCGCAAGCACACTCCCACACTTCCTTTGAAGCAAGTCCCTGGTCAGCTGCTATGCTGTGTCAGATTCCATGGTGTGCACAGTCAGGCACTCCTTAGGTCCCTGGATGCTGTGGTGCTGGCTGAGTTTCTGTGGGCAGGAAAGTCAAAACCACACCCAGAATAAATGTCCGTTTCCATGAGAGTGAATTTCTGGTCCTTCCTGGATGGAAGAGGCCCTGTCATCCCTATTGCTAGTTACGAGACCAGGCCTGTGTTTGCCCCTCCTACTGTCCGCCCTGGCCTGCAGAGGAGAGCCACATGAACTTCTCAGTGATGCTGGTGCCCTCTCACCAGCACATTCCTCATGGCCTTGGTGAACAGTGTGTTCCCTGAGCTGTTCTGTACAATATACTCCTCCGGTGGATATTCTGGCCTCACATAACACATCCGTTGCAGCATGCCCACCTCCCAGAGCTTTCTAAGCCACTGTCTGTCATGGCAGTTCAGGCATTTCTACCCAAAGTTAATATCAACCAACATGTTTTCTATGCTTCTAGGATCCAGCCTTCAAGGTGTGTTTGTACCATATTCCAGGGGCCTTGCCAGGGTGTTAAATCCTGTATCCCAGGAGAATACACCTATATTTACAAACTATCTTTTATCCAAATTTGTGTTCTACCTCCCTGTTTATTACCTGGAACCCCTTCCTAGAGAGACACTAGATCTCTGGGTGTTAAATGTCTAGCAGTCCTCTAAATGTCTCCCCTTTCCCAAGCATACACTCACCTAAGTAATGGCCGTAGATCCCTTTAGGGAAGGACTGGAACTATTATTATGGTCTGTAATTACCATGGTGATGCAGTGTCCTTCCTCCTGGGGACCTAGCCACTTCTTCAGTCAGTGGGTTCTGGGTCTGAAAACTGACTCAGGTCCAGGAACTGGGCAGAGCATCATGGCTTTTCTGGGGGGTGTTAACCCTCAGCCTCTTTTCTATTGCTGCTTTTTAAAAATTATATAATTAAACAACATCCTTATTGGTTGTCCATCTATTTGTCCCTAGGGGCACCATACTCTATTAATCCTCTTGACTCCCTGAGGGTCACGCTCTCTTGGCTGCCCCTCTGACATTGCCAGTCATTATAGTTATTGTGACCTCCTGGCTTTGGGCAGTTAAACACAGCCAAAGCTGCGGTCCTTATTACTTTGGCCTCTATTAATGAACCCAACTCTGTGATTGCCTCTCCTAGCATCTCCCCTGGCCTGCAAAGAAGAGCCACCACAGAACTTCTTGGTGATGCTGGCCCCCCTCTCACCAGCGCATTCCTCTTGGCCTTGGTCAGTGGTGTGTCTCCTGAGTCCTCCCATGCCGCATTACTCTCTGGTGGGTTTTCTGGCCTCAGGTAACATATCTATTCCAGCATGCTTACTTCTTTGAACCTTTGAATTCCTTTCTTTACCATCTACTGTGGCAATTTAGACATTTTAACCTCACTCAGTGTGGTTTATCACTTTCTCCAGGCTTCTAGGAGCCACCATAACAGTGGGTTTGTACCTACCCCTAGAGTCCTTGTCAAGGTGTTAAGACCTGTATCCTGAGAGTGCTCCCAAGTCAATAAACCCTCCCTTATCCAGTCTTAAGTTCTGGACCCAGAACTTGAAACACCCTTGAAATCCAGTCCGTGGGATCTCTCTGGCTCCTTCCAGCATATGTTGGCAAGGTCTGGCAGCCCTTTTGGTGTATATAGACCCTTTTCTTTCTTACCAAGTCCAGTACATCCCTGGCTGGGTTATACCCTAGTTATTGGCCTGATAACCAGGAGAAGAGGTGAAGGCAGATCTTGTGCCTTATAGGGGAGAGGCCTTTTTACCGTCTTCCCTAAAGAAGTGAGGTGAATGCTAGCCCTTAATACAGAGGAATGGGTTACCTCTGCACGCTCTGAGGATTCAGAGCAGTCTGGGGAGCCAGAAATCTTTGGAGGTATCTACTTAGATGTTCTCATGCCATTTGCCAGGATCCTGGGTTTTCCCAACTAGAGCCCTGACCTTGGCATAACAGATCTGCTTTGGATAAGCATTCAGTCATCTTTGAAGCTTGGTGACTCTAATTATTAAGTTCTAAGTTTGGTCTTTAGATTTTTCCGCTCTCTCATTGAAGAATATAAGGACCTCTTTGTGAGCTACCAAAGAGGCACCCTGGCTTTTACACTTAGTTTTCTGATGCTAGTTGCCCTCAGCAGTTCTATTATTCCTCCATAGGGTTTCAATGCAATTTAATAAGAGCCAGCCAATTCCACTGTCCTTGTAAACAATGTTATCCACATCTTCTTTTCATTGCATCTGCCAGAACATTTTCTTTCACCAGAACATTTTCCCAACTCACTACCAGTGAAAGTTTTAGCAACTGGGCCTTGGCCCACATACCACTTGGGATGACGTTCTCATTTCATTTCATGTAGTAAATGATCCGGTCCCAAAGCCCCACCTTACCTCTGCTTTCTCAGACCAATCCTAGTACCAGTTGTTGTCAGTTCAGGTCCTCTGGGAAGCAGATACTGAGACAGAGTTAGGAGTGCAGGAGGTTTATTGGGGGTACTACCTGTGAAATACAAAGCAGGAAGAAGCAAGATTGGGCAGGAAATGCCTCAGACCATGATGCAGACCTGACACTTGTCAACAGAGAGAGGCTAGGCAGGAGAATTAAGAAGGGTGAGTCTCAGATGACAATGCAGATCTGACAAAGTCTAATCTCAAAATGTTAGAATGCTCCAGGGCTCAGTCCTTGGTCCACGTCTGTTCTCCAGCTTCGCTTCCTCCCTTAGTAACCTCTTCCAGTCCCATGGCTTTAAATACCGCCTATACTGATGACTCAGAATAAAAGTCTAGCCCAGACATTCCCCTGAGCTCCAAACTTGTATATTCAACTGACATCTCCACTTGAAGATTTAGTAGATTTCCAGTTCAACATGTCCAAAATGGAACACTTGATTCTCACCCTGTTCCAATCTATTCTTTCCAAGGTCTTCCTCACCTCAGTAAATAGCTGTCACTGTTCTCCCAGTTTCCAAGTTAGCCATCTTTGATTGTCTCCTCTCCCTTATTTCCCACGCATATCCATTTTATTAATAAGTTCTGCTATCCCTTCTGTTCTTCAGACATGCCAAGGTATTTCCATGTGCAGTTCCCTCTGCCAGAAATGATCTTCCTCTGTCTTCACATGGGAATCCTTCTACTTCAGCTTTCAGCTTAAAGATTCTCTCTCCAGAGAGAACTACTACAAACGCCCTCTTATACTCTCTCATAGTGCCCTGTATTTCCTTCATATCCCTTTTTTTGGTCTCTATATATTTGTTTGTCTCATGTCTTTCTCCCTCATTAGCATGTAAGCTCCATGATGAGAGGAGCCTGCCTGTTTTGTTCACTACTGTATCCCCAGTAATTGCCATATAGTAAGTGTGCAATATTTATCAGATGAAGAGATGGATTAAAAATATTTCCAACAACTTGTTGTCTTCTGTCACTGAATAAAATCATTTAAAAAATTGTGGGGCTTCCCTGGTGGCGCAGTGGTTAAGAATCCGCCTGCCAATGCAGGGAACACGGGTTTGAGCCCTGGTCCGGGAAGATCCCACATGCTGCGGAGCAACTAAGCCCGTGTGCCACAACTACTGAGCCTGCGCTCCAGAGCCCGCGAGCCACAACTCCTGAAGCCTGGGCACTCTGGAGCCCGTGCTCTGCAACAAGAGAAGCCACTGCAATGAGAAGCCTGCGCACCGCAACAAAGAGTAGCCCCCGCTCGCCGCAACTAGAGAAAGCCCTCGCGCGGCAACGAAGACCCAACGCAGCCAAAAATCAAATAAATAAAATAAATAAATTTAAAAAAATTGTGGATTAGGGAAATAAAGAAGTACCCTTAAGGACATCTAGTTCCAGTAATATAGTGGACATGGTCAGTGCTTCCCAACTGCATTAATAATATTAATATCACTAACACAGCAGCAGTAACAAAGTACCACAGACTGGGGGCAGACATTTATTGTGCTATAGTCCTAGGGGCTAGAAGTCTGAGATCAGCTGTCAGCAGGGTTGGTTTCTTCTGAGGGCTGTGAGAGAGAATCTTTTCCATGCTTTTCTCTTAGCTTCTGGTGGTTTTCCGGCAATCTTCAGTGCTCCTTGGCTTGGAGGTGCATTGCTCCAGTCTCTACCTTCACCCTTACATGGCATTTTCCCTCAGTCTCAGTCTCTGTCTATGTGTCCAAGATTTCCCCCTTTTTAAAGGATACCAATTATGTTGGACTAGGGTCCACCCTAATGACCTCAGTTTTAAGTTGATTACCTCTGTAAAGGCCTTATTTCCAAATAAGGTCCCATTCTGAGGTACTGGGGGTTAAGATTTCAACAAACCATTTGAGGGGCTATAATTCAACCTTTAACTGCAACTCTTTTGAGGAGGGGGACAAAAATATGAGAATATCGATTTTTAT